TGCTAAAGAAAAAAGACAAAAAAGTACCATTAAAGGTAAACAGGAACATACAGTACAGATTCATACTGATAGAATGTAGGGCAATCAGGCATAAGACTTGTAAAAAGATTAGATTTAAGTTTGGTTTTGAAGAGAGTCAAAGAATTTGTCTCTCGTAGAAGATGAGCATTCCATAATAAATGCCATAGTGTCCTCAATTTAGTCCTACAGTATGTCCACTGTGCAAAGGACCAGCCTCAACTGATTGGAGCCTATAGGAGGACATGTAAACATGAAGAAGTTCAGAGGTTTATGACAGGTTTTTTTTAAAAGTCAGTAACAAGATTTTATATTAATTACAGTATGTGACTTTTTAGATGACTAATGTAGAGACTTTATTGTGTGATGTGCTGCCAAGGTCGGATGTGAGTTAGAGGTCTAAGTACAGAATTTTGACATATTGCAGCTTACCAAGAAGAGTATTAGGGAGCCCATAGAGTAAAGAGCTGCAGAAACTAAAAACGTTCATGTTATAAATGCTGGAATCAGGCATTCTGGACATTGATAGAAATTGTAGTATCAAGCGGAATGATACTACTTGATTGAGAGCATTTCTGTCTGCAATATCTGCATTTGATTATGACATCTCCTGGGCACTTTTTGCTGCTAAGCCATACAGAATCACTCTCCCAGACAGTGGATAATTATAATATGCCAGAAGGCTAGACATTTTACATTTATTATTGTTAGAATTATTAGTTTTTTTATTTTTATCCCTGCCAGTCCATCAGATTTCAGTTTTTATTAAGCAGTCCATTGTCCCTTCTATCTACAATAGTGATATCTACAGTATTAATAAAGAAAGAAGCTTTCTTGTAGGAAGACACCGGGTCATGCGACAGTTAAAACCAGAAAGCAGAAGCTCCTAGGTGAGATATCAATCCTTCCTAGCTAGCAAGCCGGCAGATCTTCTCTTATGATCTGCACCAGGGGAAGAAGGGAACAAAAGAAAGCAGCCAATAGATAAGCTAGTAGATGTTCTTTAAGGTTTTGGAGAAATGTGAGTTTGGGAAAAAAGCAAAAGTGAGTTTCTTTTGTTTTTTTGGGGCGCGGGGGTTATGGCAGTAAGCAGCTTGACTCCTCAGCTATCTATATAATCAGGGATATTTTTGGAGTTTCTCACACTGTATATGAAGGAGCAATATTTTTCTATTCAGCTGTTTTCCCATAAAAATGATAGCCCTCCATGTGCCACAAAGTATAAATTTCGAAGCATGAAATCTCGAGTGCTTTAGTTAACATCCGTTTCATATATCCCTGACTAATTAATGTATTGAAAGAGTAGATCTAACAGTCATCTAAACACTAAGAATTTTACAGACTAATAAAATGACATTAGTAATGTTCATAAATGTGTAATATATAATTTTCGATATTTATACCCTGTACCAATAATACTATTCCAATGTCGAGCCTAGTCTCATGCAACGACAATAAAATAATCTAGTGAATTTCAAATTGAATTTACAGAAAATATTCAAAATTCTCTCAAGATAACTAAAAAATGTCTGAAGAACAAATATCTTCTATATGACATTATGTGCTTCAGTTGTGAATGTTTTATACTTTGTTTGTATGATAAGCTCTAGCAGCATCAAGAAAGGGCTTAAGTTTGCAAATGCATCTAGCGAGCACAGCACGTCACACTTAATAAGGAATTTAACCACTGAGTCTGACTACCTACCAAGACCACTGAGATTAAAAAATAGAATGAACATCAGCAGAACATAAAATCTTATGTATATTATTGGAAATAATAAATCCAGGAAAGGAACTGTGCTTTTCCTTTCATGACAAACATTTTTTGTATAAATGAAAGCTTTGTATACCAAGTCTAAAGAACTAGAATCAACAACAAGAATTGATCAACAAGAATAGTCTCACTGTATTTAAATTAATGTAAACAAACAAGCACATGTACTTATTTGTTTTGTGATGTCTCATCACAGTTACTGACAAATCCTTGAATTACTTAATTTATCTGTATTTAACTGTAAACATTAAGTTATACCTTCCTCTACCAGCTGCAATTAGATAAATTGCTCCATAAGATGTGGACTGATACTTTGTACTATTGTATGTTATGTTGACAAAATTCATATGAAAGTGCTAAAAGTTAATTTTGCCTCTTAGTTCCTACAATATAAGCATTTAAATACTCATTGATCAATTAAACTAAATGAGAACTTCATTATCTATTAGTGTTTTCATGATTTCTGAAAGACAGGACAACACAAGAACTAAGAAAATGTGATGGTTTTCCTTATTGAGTTGTTAAACCCATTTCATTCTTCCTATACACTGTATGTAATTTGCTTAAACAATGTTTTATCATCTTCCAAACAAAGCAGGCTTTGCTCTTAATTTTAGAATTTTTGGTGAAGATTATGAATTTTACAATTACAGTTTTTTCTTTGTTATGTTTTCACTTTACCACCCCACATATAAAAAGTTGAATGAATGTGAATGACATGTTTTGCAATCTTGTACCAAAAAAAGAATGAATCTTAATTTAAGATTGTATATCTTAAACTCAAATTTACCTGTTACAGTAAAATATAATCCATGTACATATACAGTTCTGCAATTTCCCTCACAGGATCAATAAAGTATCTATCTATCTAGACTACTTATAAGTGCTGGTATTAGTTATATATTAATTGTGGTGGGACACGCAAATAAGGAATAGGTTAATGGAAACTGATTTTTACATTGTTAAAGTAAATATCACAGGATAATGCAGCTCCAAATATAGGAACTTCATGGAAGACTAAATAAAAGGTTATTTGGACAACAGCACAAAATCATTTGATGTACTCTTAATTTAAATTATTAAAAAATGCAACAAAATTCAATATCTATGTCAATATTAAATTCAGATTACACACTCAAGGCAAGTCCACTACCAAAACATACCTGGTACAGACTTTTGTGGTGATCCATGTTGGCAGTTGACAAGTCTTTGGGAGAACATAACAGATGAACAAAGCCTAAATTCCTTATAACCAAGCCATGAACTGCAGATTGCAGTCACAAGTTATTTTTTACAGCCATTTTTCACTGAAATAAAATCTCTCAGCATGGACCAACTAACAATCACTTGACAATCTCTCATTCTGCCTCTTATGTTTGGCCCAAAGCCTTGGTTAAAACTGCATAACAAGCTTCCCCCTGTTATCAATCACATTTGCTGCTTGCTGTTTAATTCTTGAATTGATTTATGGAATCCCAAAATTGAGAGAAACTCTTTTGTGTTATGGCTCAGTATGTTCAGACATATAAGAATGTGATAGTGTGAAATTCACAAATTACAGAGCTAACAGGTTCTGTATATGTTTTTTTTATATTTTGATTAACAAGCACTATTATTTTATATTTTATATATTAAATATAAATATTTGCACTGAAAATTAAGACTGGCGTCATGTTTATTTAACATAATAGTTGACCATGTAGAGTATACAGTGAATGAGATAATATATGCCAAACATTTCTACTTTAAATGCCTTATGAATTAATCACGTATAAGAAAGGGTCTTGGCAAGTTCAAAATTTAGGATTGCCATTTTCTAATAATAGTAAGAGGTAATGCTCTTAACTTAGTATTTTTAGAATAAGGTAGGCATTACATGAATACAACTGTCATGTTGTAAGCCAACTTGGACAATAGTTACAGTACCAGGGAAGATCGTTACAGAGTAGTGTGCCAGCCTAAGAGGACAACTAAGAAGGAGCTTGTCACAAAACAAACATTACTCAGAATTCTTAATTTTCTGCAAGGAATTGGAAACAACTACACAAACAAGATAAGTTTCAAGAGAAAATATCTTCACATGAAGCAAAGAATGACACGGAGGCGGGTGTGGAACAATGAACTATATATTAAAGTTAAGTCTGTTTGTACAGAACATTAGAATACCGATCTGACATTTCTCTCATGCTAGCTCTCTTCAACTGTCACCAAGCTCCCCAGTTCTTCCCGGTTTTCTCCTTTGCTTTCTGGCGCCAAAACTATAAAATGGGGTGACTCCTAAAACTAAGGAAAATGGGATAGAGCCGTCTGATGAACTATTACTTGTAATTCCAAATAAGACTTATACCTTAATTTATATATACTGTATATCACTTTACTACAAAAGGAATAACAGTTCAGATATGTTTCTATCGTTAAAAATGGTTTTGTATGGTTTTACCAAGTCCCCCTCATGATCTCTGTTAAAGACACAGTGTATTCCACTCTTTCAGCCTGTGTATTACACTGCCTGAAGCACAACATTAAATTCTTACAACAACGTTCAGAGCAACAAAGTCTTTTTTATAACGCGATTATCACAGTTCACAATATTGTAAGTGACATCTAGGTTTTAAATGCTAGGTGTCATACTATGTACCTGTATCTTAATGGTTTGTTGGCCTTTTGTATTGTTATCTCATTTTGGTTAGTGCAAGAAAACCATGAGTAAATATAACGACTGCATCCTTTTTTAGCCAAATTCTACTAAATCGGCAAATAACTACCTATAGTATATTTTAATTTATATTATTTGTCCCAGTATTTGTCTACATCAAATCTTAGTTCAGTTTCATTTGGGTTCTTCTTTCTGAACAGCTTCATTCTTGTTTTCTCAGCTCAAATCAAAAGAGCAATAACCAAAATTAACACGTTAAGCCTTTTTTACAATACTTTTGCTCCTACACAAAAATGCCACATGCATAGATGTAAACACACAAAAACAAAAGCTATTTTTGTGCACCATTATGTTCGTGAAATATTGTTATATCTTTCAAAAACAATACTGGGAATCGGATGTCTTAAAAATACATTATTGATGGAAGCCAGCTTTATAAAAGGAAATGACACGACTAACAGATAAAAATCAGTCTGTAAAATAGTTTGATGAATGTTTTTCTGTTCTAAGAAGGGCGCTGGCTCTTGCAAGTGGGCAAGGATGTCACTACTAGCACATTTTATCAACCGGAAGTGCGTGGGAACGTTTTCCCTGAAGAGTGAGCTAACTTACAAAAAGACAGCAGAGTTTTAACAAGTTTCTTGGATCTCGTTGTAAGAGCGATTTTTCAGGTTCTGAGGTGACAACAGAGTCAGAGATGTTTTCGTTTAAGGCAGTTTTAATTATTTGTATTTTACACGTGTCCTCCTGCTACTCAGAAAGTGATGTGCAAATTACAGGTAAGAAACAGATCTTTTTACTTAAACAAAAAAAAAAAACAGATTTGTGACCTGTATTTGAAAAGGAAGTTTTCTGGTCGGTTTGACAGAAAATATATTGGGCATAGAGACAAGACGCGTCAATTATAGCAATTAAAAAAGTTTGCCGTCCACAAAACATGAGTGTAACAACCCTCCGAGCTTTAAAATAGTTGTCCCTTTTCTGGGTGTTGTTCCCAAGTATAAACAACGTGTATAGCGTCTTTTATGCGGATGAAGATTTACAAATCCAACTGGGGTTTTTGAACAAATAGATTTCAATTCCATTGTACTTTTTTCACAGGTTGTACTGTAGTGTCACGAAATTTAAACTTAAATTTTCTGAGGATATTTTATTCTCAGACGCGACACAGAATTTATGTTGTTAGGTTAGTAATGGTTTGTCGACCAAATAGTATTTATACCAAAACAAAAAAACTCACATAATTTATTTTCCTGCTTTACAACAACTATGTGTAAAAGATTATTAATCTGAAATGTAACCTATTGCCTTCAAATTTTGTTCAAAAGGCAATCGGGCAATCCGTACAAATGAGTTTGATTATGCCCAGCCTTACTACATTGTTGGGGTAACTACCCTTGCTTCACGGTGCGTGCAACAATCGTATTTTATATATCTTTGGAAAACAAAGGACTTTGTATTAAGTATTTTTTTTTAATATAAGCGGTATGAAAGTCTTAAATGACACATTATTGTGGAATTAGAAAAAAAGATTATTTTGTTTTCCTAAAGACAATGGTAACTTGGAGATTTTAAGGGTTTCAAATAAAATGCTAGGTATTTCAGATTAGACAAATGGATTGATTGTTATCAAGTTTAACTGTTTTAAATATTCGGTGCAAGCTTGTTTCTTCTTTCAAAATGTTTTACAGTAACAGTCAATTTAAATGACAAAACAATAAGTACCATGTTTCCATTGTAACTATGAAGTAAACAATAAGTTGACGAGACTGACAGTAAGTGCAGTAGTTTTATAAACAAGTAGTCATAACACAGTGATGTTTTGAAAAAATATAAACAAAAGAAAACATTTCTGCTTTATACTGATGAGCTCCTAAAAATAGTTATAATTGCAGGATGATTTATGACTTTGAGAGAATATGTTTCAATAGCACATCAGTTAACCTCCAGAGATGATTAAAACTGCAGTATGTGCAGTTAATTCCACTTGATATTTACATATGTATTATGAAGGGTGCTACAGTATATAAGATAAAGGTTATTATATATCTTGAGGGGGAAATTGTCTGCTAGGCCAACAGCTGTTGATTGTATCCTGCATTAAACTGGTGCCTATTGTCTCCTGCAATTCACCAGAGACCTGTACAGTAAGAATAATGCCTTTTGTAAGATTTTCCAATTTCGTTATCAAAGTACAGCACTGTGAGGAAGAGCCCTAGGCTTGTACTGCTTCACAGACTAGGAATAAATGACATGTACAGTGCCTTGGGAAAATATTCAAGAAGTTGAGAAAATTAAAAGTCTTGAGTGTTTGCTCATGCATACATGCTCCATGCATGTATGGCACTTTGGCATCCCCTGTGTGCTGCAGTAGCAAATCAAATCAAATAGCATATTCTAGGGTTTGCTAATTCTGGTCAGAACTTAATTTAAGATGCAGTCTTTTGGATTAACTTGGAGTGCAGCCCTGTGGTTCTGGAATACTGCAGGGTTCTATGACTGCATTCTGAAGGACTGCTACATTTAACATCTGGCTTACCAAAGTGCTAAATTCAATTGGTGAAGCAATTTCTCACCTCTCTGCCTGAAATGCTGTGCAGTGGGGCTGCTGGCACATAATGGCTGCACTTCAGTGGTGCATGAAGTGGGTCCCCTTTCTATATGCAATGTGCTTTGATATCCTTTAGCATGAAAAATGCTTTTATCAGTGGAGGAACAGCCTTGACTGCCCCTGGCATTTTTTGTGGCAGTAGGAACTGGAAAAGGGTACTTTGGAGCTCCTGCAGGGTACCTAATAGTAGAGGGAGTGCTGCTCTGATTTACAAGCAGCTCTATCACACCACATGTCCAGATTCCACAGTTTACTATGTCACATCCTCCTTCATATGTGCAATGTTGTGTGTTAGGATATGGTGAGAATTTTGCAAAAATAAAGAGGATGGTTATGCCATAATTGATGTTCCATCGGCTGTGATGTCTGTCTGGAAAGTTTCTGGATAGATTAAGGTGTCATATTTTCTCAGATTAGCATTCTTTGTGAGATGTCTGTGATGTTTGGAAGATATCTTTAATCTCTGACTCGAAATGTCGTTTTTAGCAACATTCAGACATTTCTTTAAATAAGCCGTGAAATGAGCTTCACTTTGGCTGAGCAGCTTGTTTTGAAGCCCTACAGGTACAAGTACTCTGCTTTATGCAAAGGATTGTGGGAATATATAACTCTAAAGGGATTAATAGTTTAAAAGGTTATACTGTAAATACATAACTACTCTTTTGTCAAAGCTATGTAAAAAAAAAATGAATTAATTGTCCTAGTATTTAATTCCCTTGGATACACTAATGGACTCTAATTTCTTTTGCTTAAAAGGCTTTATGTAGGGTTTCATGAAGGATTTACATATTTAAGTATTTAACAAAAAATGTGATAGTACTATAGATTTTAAAACATTCCTCTTGCACCACACCTGTGTAGCACAATCTCTTGTTTGTAGTTTTGCATTTTATTCCTGTATTTAAAAGCAATACCTGTTTGTATGTAGCCACCTTAAAATACCAGATTCAGAAATACTTTATTGTGAGTGCTCATCTGTGACCTATAGTACATTTGAAAGGTTTCTGAAATGTACAGTGAATTGATAAATAAATGTACTTCTCTTCATTATGAATCTCTGTTCTTCTGAAATATGTGAAACATAATGATTTTCCTTCCAGATCTGCCTAAAAATGATTTGACTGTGTGACAGGAACTTTTTTATATGACACATTATGTGTCCTCCAAAGCTTAAGAATGTGGTGCTTCAATATCACACAGCTATTCCTCTGGGCTTTATTCTAGGCTCATTTCTTTTTTTGTTCTGTACGCTTACCCTTGGGTGTCTTTGGGAACATTTTATATATCTGATATTCATTCATGTATAGGATACCAAATTCCTTTTTGACTTTGTATTTCAGTCAAGTTCTGTTTACTGAGAGTGTTTCTTGGGAAAATATCTGAGTGTTTCTTGGGAAAATATTCTTCCATCTATCCATTTTCTAATCGCTTCTTTCAATTCAGGGTTGTGGGGAAACTGCCAAGCAACAAGTGCAAGGCCAGGGTGCACTCTGGACAGGACGCCAGTTCATCATTGGGCTAATACACATTCTTACTCAAAATATCCTACCCGTCACGTGATCCCCTTAAATTGTCTTTGAGGGGTGTATCTGACTTCTCATAGATAGTATTATTCAGTATGAAGCTAGCTCCTAGACACCTTTGTATGCTATCTGTAGGGTACTTCGAGGACTTCTTGGGAGTGTCCTTAGGGGGTTAGGATCTAGAAACATGTCATCTTGTTTATCCATTATTCTAAATAGGATTCACATATGGATCCTTGCTGGATGATAACTCTAATGTGGACCACTCATAACGGCAGATGCAGATTGCATTAGCTGTGTGACTGCAGCTGAAAAAGTATATCAAGCTGTGTATTGTGAGCTTCTACATTCCCTCTTGTGGCATCAGGAGATCACGGATTATGCCCCATCCAGACATTATATTCATAGGATAGGATTCATAGTACCGGAGGGGGATGGTGGAGAATTTGAATGCTGTGTTTAATACAGTCTAAACCGTGTTGTATAGAGTTTACATTGTAGCTGTATGACTCACTTGCCCCCTTCTAAGGCCATTCCACAATGCATTTCTTAAATACATGCACTTAAGCTTCAAGTCAATTCAGTTGTAATAAATCAATTGTATAGATGTTATGTAGCCAAGTTATTTTAAGGCATTGTTTTTCTCTCATCTCTCAAATTGTCAGCAAGATGTAATTGTCAGTTGATAGAAAGAAAAGAGAGAGGCATGAGGAATTAGTCGCTTTCCATCCTTAAGTTTCCTAGATGTAAAAAAACAATTTAAGAAATATTAACCCTCAAAGTTTTGTGTTTATACTTAGGGTCCAGAGCCCTGTATTCTGTTTTGAGGATATTTGCTGAGCTGAATTTTTATTTCTATGCATACACTGCAATATAAAGTAAACCAGGTTTTAGTTTTTTGTATTACTTGTATATGACCCCTATTTGACCCATATTTTTTGTTAAGCTTCCTACTGGTTAAGACCAAACATTTGTCTTATATTGTATAGTAGTATAACTAATAAGGCTAATAGAAAAGGATAATCTTTGTATCGTGCCTTTCATGGTACTTCATCTCAAGGCACTAAACATTTTACATTGGCTGTATTACAAGTAATTAGAAATACTTTTAAATTTTACAGTAATGCTACTAGAAAACCCCACTTTTCAGTCTGGACCAAAATTTCACTGGACCGAAATGATCAAGTGTGGTGACTGGGGACGTTGTATTGTATTAGGTGTTATCATCCTGATTAGATGTTAATCAGGTAGGCAGGACATTGGTTTATTAAAGATCTTTTGGCATTTTTTAATAAGAGTCTGGTTGTTTAGTGTCCTGGCTGTAATTTGGCTAAATTGGTGAAGCAATTTTTTGCTTCTCTTCCTTGTAATATCCAGGGTTGCACAAAATACTAAACCTGGTTTACACAAGAAACAAGGATACAGTGCTTTCAGAAAGTATTCACCCCCTTGAATTTTTTCGCATTTTATTCCTGTTACACCTCCAAATTTGAGCACATTGAAATAATTTTCATTGAAACATTGAAATGAGCTTTGCACATTTAGACTGGGGAATTATTGCCCATTCTTCAATGCAGTTTGCTCCAGCTCTGCCAAATTAGATGGAGAGTGTTGGTGGACGGCAATTTTCAGGCCGTACCACAGA